GATCACCAACGATCGACTAGTCTCTTCACGCTATCTATCTGGGCAGCTCATGACATTTCCCACATTTTTGAGAATTGTAATAATTTTCCTAGATTCCACTTCCCTGTCCTCATTGTAATTCTATGGTCTCAATTCAATATTTCAATCATCTTCAGTTCAATAATACTCCAAAATTTATCATCCGCAGCATCTTTACAATATAGCCATCACATATTCCCCCATTTACCTCATCAGGAGATTCATACATACGCCATCCGCCAATTTGATAAGACCTTGTGATTCTCGACACAATACCAATCTAACATCATCACTCCCATATCATCTCAACGGGATCTCTGATAACTCAGTTACACCGGAACAACTTTTCGATTTGATCAACCTCGTCAATTCCATCATTCTGCCGTTATCCAACCACAGTATCCTCAAAATGTCAACAGAGTGTGAACTTCTAGCAAAAATATGGTGCTCGCCAACACCTTCAGCACCTCTCGCAAAGGCACTTCACACTGCATGCCTATCATACCTCGAATCGGTCAAACTGCCAACATCCTGCTCAAGCCCTAAGACCCCCAGGACTTTACAAAGCCTACCTGCCGAGATCCAATTAAAGATTATCGGGAACTTAGGATTTATAGGAAAAACTAAACTGCGACAGACGAACCATTTCTACAACAGCATCATTCCAGCTCCTACTCCCACTGACGAAGAACTTCGTGAGTTAATCCTTGCTACCGAATCGGAAAATTATGCAATAAGAAAACAACTATTAGCTTGTAATAACTGTTTACGCTTGCAACATGTATCCAAATTCGGAGACACTCAGAAAATAGGGAAAAGAATCCGCGATGGACCGCAGTGCCATCTTCGTCTCTGCCTGCAGTGTGCAATATGGAAGGGATTGTATCAGCTTGGTAAATTTATCCAAGTAGGCGGAGAGGATGTGTACATTTGTCGATGTAGGAGAGCTACACCAAAGGCAAACCTGCCCTCTAATTGGCTTACTCATAAACGATGTGCGGTTTGTTATTCAAAAATAGAAAAATCACGGCAGAGAGAAGACAGCAAGTGCAAGGATCTATTGATGGAATGTATGGCATGGATGAAATGCTTCACTCCGGACCAGGTACAAGAAGAACAAAGGGCCCTCTACTTTCATTTTGGATCCCGATACGCGGATTTCTAGCTTTCTAGGGCATGTGGACGAGTTGGAGGAAGAAAAATGATCCTACAAAAGGAGCTTTCCTGATAAACTCAATTCTCCAGAATTTGAGGAATAAACTCGCAAATTGGGAAAGCTTCTTTGTACTTTCTTCGCTTGAGAAGAGACATAGAAACATGGAGGAGCTAATGATCACTACGATACTAAAGCCACTGACTTGTCGCAATTTGGGTTTCCCAATGCAGATTTAAGAATATGCACAATATTTCAAAATCGTATTGTCTTTTCCACTAAACTTCGTACGACGCCCAGATCATTCCACCACGACGCGCGTCAAAACAATCACAGCCATAATTTAGCGACCATAGCCTTAAACAACTCTCTTAACCTCTTCTCCAACAACAAGTAAAGGCTTCTCTGAGCTAAAGTTTGGAACATCTCCCATAATAGTTGGGCCTTCGGCGGCTGCACCGGCAGCCCATGCCTCCTTGCTCTCGAACCAAAGAATTGCTTGTCTATTATTCTTTGATTAGCCATCATACCACATGAGCGTCATCCGGTGTCCAGCCATTGTCTTCCTAGATATATATAGATATATATCGGGAAGAAGAACAGCACACAAAACTCGAGAAAAACATACATAGAGTATCCTGCGCTCTCATCCAACTTGGTAACAGTCCAATTCTTCAATCCATGAGAACCCCATTTCTCTTGAACAAGTGGCATATGTGTCTTCATATAGTAGTCTAAATCGAAAGTCGAGGTTTCGGTCTTGGGGTATATGACGGTGACGATTACGGACATTTTGGCCGGTTTATTCGATTGTTTTGAGATATAAATTGAAAGGGTATTGGAGTTATGAGAACAGAGTTTAATCCACGAATTGTCAATTTGTTGTTGTTGTCGTTGGAAGAGTTGAGATTAAGGAAAGAAAAAAAGAAGAGGGGTTGCTGTCAACACGACTAGTTTATAATCAACCCCGCACCTTCTTCCGTGCACGACGATAGCACAAGCTTCCGTACATCCAGAAAGTGTACAACTCCGACACTATATACGCTAAATCGGTGTTAACAAATCAGCAAAATCGATCGTGTCTTCAACTTCCACCCGATGAATAGGTACTCACAGTCTCACACACTACCTACTCGGTGATGTTTGAGGAAGGCTCCTGAGTAACATATTAAATACTCGCTTGTTCACAAGCTCTATCAGATTGATACTTGATACTTGTAGATCAGAAGTATTTACTTTTCCTGAAGAACACGTGTAGAGTTCTCTCCTAATGTTCTATTTACTGGACGAACGAGTACTTTAATCGCGCCTCCGTTGGTCCGATTTCAAGTGGGGTTTGTTTTGTGTCACAATTGATAAACAGATCTTCAGGTTTATGCAGTGTGACGATGGGTGGATTCGCATCTGGTAATCGTGGCAGGATATCTGCACGTGACCATACGGGAGAAGAGGAATGAATGGTGGTATGGGTAGAATGAAATGACGTGAGACAATGCTCAATCAAGAGAGCCTTGTTAGTTTTAGTTGTTAGAGACGGGGAGGTCAAGCATGAGAATTTGAGAATCAAATAGATAATTAGATTTCTAATATGAATACGTAAAATACGACTAGCCGCATTAAAGAATGATTTCACCACCGGAACAAATAATTTCCTTCCCAACTCGGCATCAGCGCCTCCCATCATTCTCACCATGGCGTTCATTTCCATCATCTCGCCCTACATATCCATTCTGCAGGTCAACTGCATCCCAGCCCCTCTGTACCATTCTCTGAGCAAAAGAATTCCTATCTAATCCTCCTGCAAGAGATTTTGAGATTTCATTGTTAGGTAAAGCCTGAGATTGGAATGGTCGTGAATAATGTGATTCATATCCAGAGAGGTGTGTTGGCTTTTGATTACTAGGCTCTGAATCTATAACCTACATCGTTAGTTTATTGAAAGCAGCACAGACAGCAGAAGACACGTACCATTATTCAAACCTAATTTCGATACATTAATAAGGCCCAGATTCCTATAGTCCCTCAAGCTGGCAGACCAGGTCTCATTCACCCCTTCTTCACTGGTGTTCGATGTAGATGGCGCCATTCCTTTGAAAGGATAGCTGGAGAGAGAAATGCGGGGAATTTCTTTCGATGTCTTTTTCCACGGTAGTCGAGTAGATAAGGAAGTTGTAATTGGTTTGCTGTTGTTCTTGTTGGTTCGCTTTCGACGACGACGCAGAAGCCAAGATACGAGCGCAAAGACCAAGATAAAGGCGACTCCACCACTAGCACCCCAGGCGATGAGTCTCGTATCGGTTGTAGTGCCGGGAGGGAGGGCAGTGCTAGTTGTTGGAGATAGGGATGTGGAGCTGGCTGCGTAGAGAGGAGAGGTCATGGAAGAGGAGTCAGGAGATTTTTGAACGGAGGTTGATGTGGTTGTGAATGAAGGTAGTAAATCAGAGGGGTACGTAGTATCTGATGAGATATAAGGTACTGTATACACCGATATTCGGACAGCTGTGAATGTCGATATCGATGTTACAGTCACAATACTGGAAACAGCTGCCATGAATGTGCTTTTATTATTGGCAGCATTACAGTCGGCCAATATTGTACTTGGTGGCGCAATTCCGGTGGAAATTGGGATACTGGATGTGGTGAAATAGAGAACTGAGGACGTTGTAGGCTCAGCGCCAGAGTTTGAATAGTTCGACGAAGACTGGGTCGAGTACCCTGTACTGTTCCAAGGTGTAGTCCTTGACGATTTTGGATATGCTGATGATAGAGATTGATCAGTCGTAGATGCTCCAGGTGGGATCGTCATAGAAATTATAGAGAGTGGAAAAGTTGCCGTTGGAAGGATGCTCGTCTGAAACGTAGTACTCTGTGAGCCAGGAAAGCTCAAAGTATTAGTTACCGACTTAAATGCCGCAGGATATAGATGAGCTCGAGGGCAATTGGTAGCTTTGCTCGAGCATGGATCGATATCACAACACCCTTGAAATGAAGGGGTCTGGCGTGAACATATCCACCAATTTCCAGAAGAGCAATACACGTTCGGCCAATAGGAGCCAAGATTCATTGATCCTTCGTCTCCAGCTTCCCCGTGTCCGAGTCCAGCTGCTCGAAGGTCGCTCGCTGGGCATCCTTTATTGTTGCATGGGTTGCTTGTGCAGCATCCAAAAAAGGTTGGTGTTTGAGCTGTGCAGGTATACCTATAATTTGACTATTCAGTATTGTTATATGAGATGATAGATGAGCACCCCACCACTATCAAAACATTTGGTTAGTGATGGTCTGTAAGATAATTGAATGACATGCACGGGACGAGTAGTCGGAAGAGATTCGAGCAAGTTTGTTCAAAAGCGAAGAGAATATTATACTCACAAGACCTCCTAGAGGACAAGTACCCATAGTATTGTTTGTCATATTGCCTGAGTATAAGTGGAAGCCGAGTATGATAGGTTATTCTGATGAACTATATGGTATTCAGAATTTCAAGATATATTAAGAAAATACTAGAAAATCTTTGAGCTTAAGAGTACTGGGGGTTCCGGTAAACCTTTTGTAAAACGAGATTGAGAAAGAAATGGAAATTGGACTGAATAGGAATTCTTTGCTAAATTTGTGAATCAACAAAACAAATCACGAGAGACTGATTCACCTCTCTCGAATATAAATTCGTGCGGATATTGAGCAGTATTCTTTGAACATCCCATTATTCATTATATTCAGTACTATGTGAATAACGATGACGGTAAAATTTGTGAGGCAGATCTGAAGAAACATATGTGAAAATGAAAAGCACTCCACTTCTCAACATCACTCGAATGTGGTCCTATATATCTCAATTTCTGGAAGACCCCGACTTCAAACCTTCCGGTAATGATGATCGGAAAGGATCCTCAGATGTATCTGGCAGTTCTACTGTCCCTGGTCGAGAAAAAAGTGATCTTTGTTGAAGAGGTGGGGATTCGACTTCATGTAAAATGGAAGAGTCGATCTCATGGTAATTAGAAAAGTCTGGAGATTGAGGCGCCGATTGATATGGTGGAGCAGGACTAAGAGGCGGAGACGATAGTATCTCTGATACTGGACGATAATCTGCCAAATCATTAATGAGACATTCTGCTGTTCTTGAAGCAGTTGTAATTACCTTTCTGCGACGCTTTAGCGTCTGAAGGGCTATCTTCATATACGAAAGGTGATGAAGTTACTTTAACCACGGACATATCTTGAGGTGGCGGTTGATAATATGGCTCGACTGCGCCTGCCAATGGAGATCTCTTTTTCCGTCGTTGGACACAAAAGATAACTAAGAGAACAAGTATGATAACAACCACTCCCCCTAAAGCACTCCCTATAATTGCAGTAATTGGTAATTTTGAGTTTGAGTTGTGCCCAGTTGAATTTACTGTCGCACTCGCTGTAGCCGATTCTTGAGATGACGGAGCTTGAGTCGAAGTAGAGTAAGCAGCAGAATTTGTTACAGAAGATAAGGTAGTCGAAGGTAAAGAAATTGAACGAGATGCAGAAATCGAAGATAGTGCCGAAGATGATGAAGTCGAGGACGATAAAGTCAAAAGTGTCGAAATAGGCAATGATGAAGTGCGGACAGATGAAGACTTGGAGGAAATAACAGAGGCAAATGTAGCTGGAACGCTATTGAATGCTGCAGCGTAGAGCCTCCATGATGGACAACCATTCTCATGACATGGATCAAATTTCTCGGTCGAACCAGGTTCATGGCTATCATCACAGCAACCTTGAAATGACGGAGTCTGTCTGGAGCAAGTATACCAGACTCCTCCGCTGGGGCAACCCGCATTTGGCCAGTACGATCCATCGTTGCTAGAAGCATCCGGACCACCCGCTGTTCCCATTCCTGCAGCTAAGAGGTCTTCTTCAGGACAACCAATTCCATTACATGGATTACTGGCGCAACACCCGAAAAAGGTTGGCGACTGATCTAGACATGTCCACCTAAAAAATTAAATCTATCAGCGATATTCTGGGCCTCGCTACACGATGAGACTTACCAATCCCCGCCGAGGGGGCATGATCCCATAGGAGTCATAGACATCTTTTTTTTTTTTTTTGCTTAGTTGATGAAATTATGATCAGGAAAAATTTAGCAGAAACTTCTCATTAGATAAGTGCTAAGCAGGAGAGTCGACTGAAATTCCACGTATCAGAGATGATGGAGAGGATATAAATACAGGTAGCTTAGAACGAAATATATGGGGAGCCTTGTCTCTCAAGTCTGATGTGGAGGGTATCAGGATTAGTGGCTTGCATTAAAACGAACAGTAACGGGACCGGGACCAGGAAGTTGGCCTAGCATTGATTTGTGAAGAGAATATTCCATCTGTGGGTAGTACACAGAGCTCTAAGTGTGAGTAAGTGTGGTGTGTTGTACAACAAACGGCAACTTCAACTGCCATTACCCGTTACGATGTTTGCATCTTACATTTACTGACAAAACTCGCCACATGAAGTCCTAAAGAAGAAACCTGCAGACAATACAACGAGCTCATCCATCTCAGACGAATGAAATGAGTCTTAATTTACCAGTGTTTAAGAACAGTGATATCGGAGGTGATGTCACAGATTCATGATGGATGGTTTGTATTATCCCGCAAACATACAGGCGTTGAACAGAAATATCAACCTCTTGTTGCCCCATAAACGTCGACAGCTTGATTGATATCATCATAATGCGAAATCGACATGTAAACACTGCCACTTGACAAAACTCCTTGGTTAATGATGACTAGAAGACTGCAAACCAATTTCTGCGGCTCAATTTTTGTTGTCGATCTTTCATGCAAGGCCTAACGGATTGATACTTCAATTCCTGCTTGAGCTCCTGCTTCGAGCTTTTCCGGTCAAATACGGGAATTGAGTCTGCCTTGCACTGCAAGGTAATACTCTGACCGGTTCATTTGAAGTGGGGTGGGTGATTTTTTCGGCAAGCCCGATTGACACAACCTGACAGTAACATCTAGCCTGATCGGACTTGATTTGGACTGTAACATAAACGCGACATGAACATGAGGGGTGCGATTGGATTTGGATCCAATGATTGCACGCAAATTCTGGCTGATGTCGATCCTCTCTTCGAACTGCAAACTACGGATACAAATTGACCTGCGGAAGATAACCTCCAATCTCCTGCCCCACTTTCAATTCTCTCAGCCTTCTCTCTCTCGCAGACAGGTATATTGACACCGTTGAGCGATCCTGCCAATAAGTCGAGACAAAGCCTGCAAAATCATGAACAGTACATCATCGATGCAGCTAAAACTTGAGCGCAGATTTTTGAAAGGCTCCATGTTGTACCAAATGAAGAAAGTGACTGCACTGGAATTGGTTTTGTGAAGTTTACACGTGCCGTTGAACACACTAGTACTAATTTGGTTTTAGCGCAAAATACCATCATAGTCCACGAAACGTGACACTCTCGTTTTACAATCTAGTGATTTCAGACATCTGCTCGAGGAGTCACGAAAAAAGAAGTACTGGATATTCTGGGGAAATAGACTTCTGAATGAATAAATGAATAGTGGATACCAGCGAAAGATTTTTGTTGCTCATTCTACGGTTCACCACGAGCAACATTATATCGTGAATGACCCGCTTCGTGACGCGTCAAACACATCTTTTCAGGCGAAGATTCAGGTTCTTGTTCAAAGCACTGGAATAATCACCAGCATTAGCCAGTCAAGATCAAGCAACTCAATTTTGATCTGGTTATTTGTAAATGCGAGGCTCCGGCGGACAATGGACGCTCCGCGGAGGCGGGCGCGGGCACGGCGCTGTCACGTGCGCGGATATAACAAATGTATATATCCCTCTCTACGGTACTTAGCCCAGGTTCCCTAAAAAATCAATTCTATCTTTACTTTAAACCTGCCAAGTTCTCCGATTCCTACGATTACAACTATTTCTCAAAACGCCCATTTCTCGATCTCCTATCCCGTGCCATCAAGGACAGCCACTCCCATTGAACAAACCTTCGCACTCATCATGGGCGTCTCAGAGCTTATCGATTCTATCAATCTTGTTACTAGTAAATCTAGTGAGTTGAAAGATGAAGATCAAGGAAAGCTTCTTAGTGCGTGTGGAAAACTACAATCAAGCCTAGAGGGCCCTCGGGATAAGTTGATGAAGATGATATTCTCAGTGAGTATCAATCCTTTTCACATATCCAAATGCTTTCTGACGAAATCCCAGTCACTTCAACCAGTAGCACTTAGCCTCGCAGTGGATATGGAAATTTTCGATACGGCAGCTGCTTTGTCCGCGGCTGGGAAAGAAATTCGAGCCGAAGATCTTGCTTTGCCAAAAGATGCCGATACGTTGCTTATTGGTAAGTCTCAACTTGAAGAAATTAAGGATTGTAAGGAACTGACCACTCATTAAGTCAGGGTCATGAGACTTTTGGTAGGAATGGGTTACTTCACTGAAATAGCCAAAGAAACCTACAAACCCACGCCACTAGCAAGCGCTCTGGTCACATCATCTCCATATGGCCAAGCAGTGATTCACTTGTATGTCACAACTAGTTCAAATTCTCTCTTCCATATCTAACAATCTCTAGCACAACCCAAAATGAAGTTGTAGCTGCTCTCCCAACATACTTTGCTAAAAAAGGCTATCAGAGCCCCAACGATGCATACGATGGCCCATTCCAGTTTTCTCGACAAACAGACCTCCATTGTTTTGATTGGATGGCTACTAAACCACGCATTCAACATGCTTTCAATACCGTGATGACCATTCCCCGCACTATTGGTCGCACAGCATGGTATGAGTATTTTCCTGTTGCGGAAAAGCTCAAGGCAAAAACGCCTACAGATCCACTTATAGTTGATATTGGAGGAGGCATTGGACATGATTTAGTTCGTTTCAAGGAAGCACATCCAAAACTTCAAGGGAAACTTATTGTAGAGGATATCCCGGTAGTGATTTCTGGTATCGCACCAAACTCTCTTCCTGACGGCATTGAAGCTCAACCATATGACTTCTTCAAACCACAACCTATCCACAATGCAAAGGCTTATTATCTCGCCAATGTCTTGCATGATTGGCCTGACAAGCAAGCCTCTGTTATCCTCGAACAGGTTAAGGATGCGATGGGTAAAGACAGTGTGTTATTAATCAATGAGAATTTGATGCAAGAAAAGAATGCATCATTCGAGAGTGCCTGTACAGACTGGATGATGATGGGGGGTTTTTCAGCATTAGAAAGGACAGAGAGGCAATTCAAGGAGCTGATTGAGAGTGTGGGGTTGGTTTTGGTGAAGGTTTGGGGGGCACCAGGTGTAGAAAGTGGACCTTGGGAGGGAAGAAGACTATTGGAAGTGGCCAAGAATGATTGAAATGACTGGTAATCTAGTACCATTTGTTCATTAGATAAGCTATCGAGGCTATCAAACTTTCTGTGTATCATGTCAGATACAAGATAACGCAACTCAGTGTAACGGTAAAAAACAATTAAGTAATCATAGATCGGAATCGAGATTACCGAATACCTTTCCTTGGTAGTGAGCTATAGTTCGTGAAGCTAGCTGATAATATCGATCAATCAAGAAATTGAAAGGGTCTAATTCATTAAGGGTAACATCTCAAGAAGAACAGGTGGGGTTCAATGTAATCAACCCAGGGGTGCCTAAGCGAGCTCTCTCAGATGACACTTTTTCGGGTAAATCGGGTTTGTTTAACATTTCTCACTCAATCAATCACCGTCCCCTTCAACTTCCGCGGGTTACTGCACCCTCATTTCGACTTGACAGCCCTCAATTATTTTGTTGAAGATTTTGTTGAAGATTTTATCGAAATTGTTGGGATGAGGTTGATTCGTGCCGTAGGGCTGCATACAAGGTTGACACTACGTCATCTGTTGAATCTCGATCCGATAACCTAAATTAAGATTGGAGATAACCCAGCCTTATACCAGGATACATCATACTCGTACGTGGAATAGATGGGCCAGAGATTGGTGAGTTGGTATGGAAACTCTTGAAAATTCATCAAGTGTTTTACGAACTTACTACAGAACAGATTCGATATGACGGCAACGTTGATGTTTGTTCGTTGGCTATACCGGTTATGTCGAGTCAAAAAGACGGAGAACGACATTTTTCCAACTGAAGGAGAATTGTTTTGAATCACCAAGCCGTGGAGTTGCACCTTGTATCACCTTCGCACTAGGTACTTTTTCAGCTTTGGTAAAGAAATATATAATTTTGGGGGTTAATCGCTAATACAGATAGGCTATAAAAAGAGAAATGTATATCATGAGTCGCAAAAAGAAAGAACCAGCCGAATCCGAAGAAAATTCTCGAAAACTTCTCCAACCAAGATGTCTCCTCATTTTCCTCCACCTTGCAAATCTATTTTGGAAATGAATTTTTTTTCTTAACGCACAAGCCCGACCTGAGTTAAATCTATCTGTAAGGGAATTACAGTTGAGAATGGCGCCTTATACATAACCTCTCGATGGAGGTATTTTTTTGGCAGAAACTTTTGTCCCGAGCATCCATTACTCGTACGAAAATCGAAGAAATCTGGCAATACATCGCACGCAATAAGGGCTGAGCAAAAGAAGCCGACACGACTCATGGTCAAAAACGATGAGATGCCCCTGTCGCATAGCAGTCAAGTTCCCTCAAAACAATTTTTTTCCCTTAGAGTATCTGTTTTACATTCGAGAGATAACGCTTGTTGTCTCGAGTGTTTTGAAACTATCCATGCTATACAAAAGACACAATCTTTGCTGTCGAAAAGTAAAACCAGACTGGACCAGGGGACTTGCGATTTGCGCGTGATTATGAGCAGGTGAACTCCTTTCTCTTTCTGGATCCCTCAAATATTCGGTCCAGCTATCCTGATGTGCAAGCACGTTTTGCTATAACAAGGCTATCGTTTGATCTTCGAGGTGGGTGAATCAAATCATATTCTCAGGCGAGTCAGGGAGTCTGTGTCTTTAAATGGTCCAGGAATGAATGGTTACCGTGGCGCCACATCCTAGCAGGCATGTCGTATTCCGACGCTATTCGAAATATATCAAGACTGACAGTTAGATATTGAGAGGCTAAAAAGAAAATATGTTTTTCGTGTAATAGGGTTTTATGCAGTGCAATCAAAGCTTGTCACTTTTTTTGGTGGATTTTCGAGTCGCTTCAGAAATGATACACGCCTGGCAGACGCTGCTAATTTGTTCGACCTAAGCAATAGTGTTCTCATTTTCCGATACGGTACCGGCTTTTGATGGTGCTTGTTCTGAGTACCTAGGAGAAATCGAACGGTAGTACGGCCATCGAGGAAGATAACATTCGAGATAGAGAGGTTGGGACTGATGTAACTCGTCATCGGTATTTAAAGGTTTCCGACAAAGCCCCTCCGATTGGTCGGCTTTATCATCGCTTCGCGATTCTTGCACGACCAGTCGCCATCCATTAACTCTGAGTCTCTGTTAGATAATAACAAGAGTAAGGCATACTGTGCACTTACGTTTCATCAATAACGAGTATTCAGTTGCTGATATATCTTGGTCTAGACATTATAGTTATATCCTTCCATTCGATCGGTAGGCTGGTGAGCAGTTAGTCGTCCGCAGAAATCTGATGAGAAGGAAGCATACCGTCACCTCATCATGGTCATTCTCATACACCCATCTTTCCAGCTGGTATTGAGTTGTCGCCGGAAGGGTATCGAGAGTGGTAGCAGTAGGGCGGCTATAAACTTCCGTGACTGGGGAATCATAGGGACTCTGGTAAGCAATCGCCGCAGTCGAAGCATTATATGATGATGATGTAGAGAGTGCAATGGTCTGAGGGGTAGTGACAGGAGCTTCCCATGACCATTGTGGTAAAGTGTGCCTGGTGAATCGGGTGTCGAAGTGAGTGGGATTAGGGACATGAGCACCTATATGACGGAATTCGATAAGATCGTTATTAAAATCACTCGCAGATAACGGACCGTCGACTGGTCCCTGAAGTACTTGCGCTGGTGCTTCGAGATGAAGATTGGCCTCATTAGAACCCCATTCATGAGGACTGGAGGCGACTTCAACCTCGATGCTTCTGTCGGCAACCATCATGGAATCAGCGCCGAATTCTTGAACCCCTTCATCGATCTGCTCGTGAGATATGAGTCTTGCTTCAGAATGCGTGATAGTATTAACATCTTGTCCCTGGTCATCGTTGCTGCCCAGATGCGCGGTGGGTTCATGAGAGGTTCTCTCACTACCAGACCTGGAGAGTGTCAGTAACACTTCACGCATGAGCTCGAATTAAAGCAATACTCTTTTGTCCTCTGCTTCGGCTTGCTAGCAGTTTGTCTTTGATTTCTTGAATGCTTGACCATGATGGATGTTTGTTGTAAGGGTTGATGATTATAGTTAAGTACGTATATATAGTGGTAGGGATCGTTTGCTAAAGAATATTGATGCTAAAATGCAGAAAAGTGTTGAAAGTGTATGTGGTATGTCTGCTAATAGTGACCAGATATGTACGGGAGCAAAGATGAAATATAGTATGCTCTGTGATAAAAATGGGATAAAGATGGGATAGAAAATTATCTCGATCCGGAGGAAGCAGATAGCGAAGTGTGTGCTATTGAAAGTAATGAGGATAGAAATATATATGACTACTCGACTCTGAAAGAGCAAAGAAGATTGCGTTGTGACCGAGAGTGATATGTGAAGAGCGGAGAGTGATATATATCCAGCATTTTAGGCATCTAATGTGGTTTGCAAACCACTTGCAACCCATTGTGTTCGGCGTGAAGTGCAACCAATTTTCAAAGTTTGAGTAAGTTATCTCGTCATGCCGCCTTACACCTCGAATATCTAAGGGACTCAACTGCAAGCCACGGCAACTAACCAGGTGAATGTAAACATTATTTCTCTCACTACCTAGTTTCAAACGCCACAATAGAAGGGTGGCAGGGCGTAGAGAAATAGTTATCACCTCTACACCGCATTTACATGGTCAACCAGTGATGGGAAATTTCGTAACGGCATCTACCTGACTGACGACCAGAACCTAGATCGGCTTCGAAAAGACTACCATTCCTCTACACGCGATTATATTTCCTAGTATTTCCTCGATTTTGCTTAAGTTAAAGGAATGTATTACCATCGTATTTAGTAGATCAATTGAGACGATAGAAATATACTGGATCCCGATCTTCATATGATTGCGAGTTTGAGAATATCAATGTATGTATGTAAAAGATGGGTTTGGATTGGTTTGTTTCGAGCCTTCTTGCTTCGATAATCACGCAACTAGCTATCAAGCATTTTTTTTTCAGTGCATGTGTAACAAAATACAGCCCATCTTCTACTGTAATTACAACCCTGTGAATCTTCGCTTTTCTTGGTCTTGGTTAATTTTCAGTATCTCACTAGCTTTCAATTATCACATCAATCATCCATCTTCCCGAGTCTGTCTACCGATATTCATTATATTCTTTTCCTAGGCCTTTTCACAAGGCATTTTAATCCCTGAGGTGGATAAATGGGGGATTCTGCTATTTTCACAAACATCTAACAATGATGAAATGAAATGTACGAATAATCTTGGTCATCGGATGCGTTGTCAATTCCAGCCTTCTTCTCTAGAGATAGATTAATTTTGTTTCATAAAACAAGCGCTAGCGGCGGTAATTATTCACAGAAACTGGGTTTAGTTTGCGAACAATCCCTACCTGAAGGTCCGGCACAGCAGTACAAATGCTTAAAATCCTCCTTGGTTGCTAGTGATGAGTCTTCTTTGAGCTGCATCGCTGCGCCGCACCCTGGTTCGTTAGATCCTTGGTCCTGTAAATCTGACCCAAAGCGAACAAAGGGAATAAAATCAAAGAGCCGTGAGAATTGTGATGATTTTTATATACTACAGTATCATCTTTCGGCAAACACTGGCAAGCTTATTGTTCGATGCATCATTAGTGATTAGCACCCCACCAAAATTCCAATCTTGAAGTTGTTTTTTTAATCTCGTTCCTGATTTTCCCTAATAGAGTATGGAGGGCAGCGCTGATCGACCGAGAAAAATTTAGATTAATGCGTCAAAGAATGTTTCTCTTAGATCCAAAAGAATCAGATAACTAGTACCGGTACCTTGCTTTGGCTCACATCATCAATTGAATTTTGTGTGAAATTTCCAGTTACTACGCGTGGTTCATCCCGTTAGTGTAGTGATACAACATTCCTAACGCTCATTAATGCAAGCGGCAGGTTTACCACAAACATTATCTGGTGGAGTGTTCAACCACAATGAAAATTTGCTACTTTCGACAGTATAAGATTATGGTCCAAAACAGAAAATCGACAATCCAATCAGGTTTCGCAGATTATACACATTAATTGGGCGAAGATAGTGTATGCGCTGGCTCCAATGCGCAAGTATGAAACCGTAAGCAATTACAAACACAGGCGAGCACTAGTAAGAATGACCAGATTGAGAGAGTTGGCTATGTTCTCTAAATTACGAGTATTGTTTATACATTGATCTATGCTGCGGTATCGATGCGGTGACCAGAGGAGAACCAAGGATCTGTACAATTCTTGGTCTGATGAAATGTTATCCTGATGGCTCTTTTCTACATGGTCCCAAAAATTCGGTTTCTGGTTTTGGAAAGGCAAACTTTGCGCTCCGGACATTATACCCAGGCTCATAGGAAGTTTTCTGATACTTGCACAAAATACTCTAGGAACAAGTTATCTTGTTTCTTTCTTTAGGGCAATTCCACCAAGACATAACAATACGTAACTGGGATCTAATCAAAGCGAAATTTTACATCAACGAGGAATATTAAGGAAAAGTGAGCATGCGACTATGTTGATCACGAACTCAATGGTTCCTTGCCTTTTGGACATCGGGGTTTAATCATCCCTATCCATGCGTCTTGCTTTCACCATTTTCATAATGAATTTGTAGGATAATGAGCAGCGCCAGAAAAAAAGAATAATAGATCGAAGTGCACAAGGCTCAATCAGATTTCACAGCCCTGTAGAGTACCTATTGTCGCCCTGAAATAGGCCGGTCGGGGCTTTGCTGGTCCCTGTACTACTAGTCTCTCAGTAAGCTATACTGTATCATTCCGGTTGGTTCCCTGATGTCTGACAGGAACGCTTCGTTACTTGTTTCTAGGCAACCCGCCAAATTTCTACACAACGATAACAATTCTGGAGATTATTTCATCAAGCGGAGAAGTAGATGCGTTATTGCTTTGAATGCAGACGCCCTGTTGAGCTAGCACATATTCACGACTAACTGAGTATGATTGACGCCCGGAGGTCTGTTCTGTGATACAATAGGCTCGAACAGAAGAAAAAATGCAATGAAAGGGTGTGGCCAAATGTCCATCGAGTCTGAAGCGTTGTGTGATGTGTGCTACATGATAGTATCTAATTCAGATGCAGTCAGGAACAGAGACATCCATGTTGCGCATTTAACAAGTACTAATACAAGTCGGAACATATTCTTACAAAAATCCCGATCAACAAAAAACGATCTGCGGAAAGCATGAACGCCGCGAGAGTATCACAAGATCGATTGAGATTAGAGTGTGTTAACTTTCACCGCGTAGGTCCTGCAATCTCCAGACACGTCAAGAGCGGTTGCTGATTTGATGACACCCGGGAGGAACTTCCATCCCCGCAGCTGTGAGACCATTCAAGATCTTTCGGTTGGTGGGCCTGTTGTTTAACAGTACCGTATACGCCGTGTTCAAGATTGCCGAGTACTACATTGGCTTGCGCCCCAGCATGATTGCACGCCTTTGAGTTGGAAGATTTTAGGTCGATCAAAAAGCTCACGGCCTACTTGGCCAATTCAAACATGTGTCGATCCCTGCGACCTCTTTCTTGATTATGTACGATTCCGTCTCGGCGTCTCGGCATAATCGGCTCGGGATACCTCGAAGAATGTGTAGGATCTTTCACGCGACTTCGCGAGGCAATTTTCACAAAACAGGGCGTCAACCATATTATCTTGAACTCGAAACACGAAATTTAAAAGGGGCGCTTGGTAAAAATTTAGTGCCGCGCACGTCTTCGAAGCTGGCCATTGCACTTTGGCAGCTACTCGTGCGATTTGCTAACATAAAGGGCTCGCGTGTTCATGTGACTACAACGTAGCGCCAATGAACGTCCGTCTCGTGGATTCCAGTAGAAGAAGCAGACCGACTTTCCCTCCTCCCACACTTTTGATTTCTTAACATTGAAATCCGTGTCTCTATTGAATTTCTATTTTCATCTCAAACGGGGGAGATTGTTTAAGTCACAATATATTCTTTTCTTGGCATCAAACTATCTCATAATGATAATCACAACCTCAATTGCGCACCCTGGTCAGCAAATATGTTGACTTCACGTTTACAACGCTTGTTCCTGTTTGATTTTCTGAGTTGTAGTCTCCCAATTTACGATGGGCTTGCACATAGTGTCTCCTATAGGATTTCATAATTTTGCACGAGTGTGACTTCAGAGGGGCCTTTTGCCCCAATATAGGATCACAATTTCACAATCTGCGCGCATGGTAACCTGCTTGATACTTGTATTTGAGTTCATATCAGCAGCAATGCTTTGCATATTTCTTCAGGTCTTGCCTCATCTAGTCTCGAGCATGAAGATAATCATGAACAACTAGATGAGATACGGTATAAGTAAGCTTCGTGAGGGCAGAAGTCTCGCAACTGTGACACCTGCTTCAAAAAGAGAATTCAGTTTAGTGCTGCTAGTGGTTATTTTATAAATGAAGTTCAGCGAGTCAGTGCCTCAATATGTTCCATCGTAGTGCAGGACGAACGTATGTTAGACTCGCACCGACTAGACTAGCAAGTAAGATTTCATAACCTTGCCATTTCGTTGCACGATGAATACTTCATGAAAATCAATTTGAGTTGCTCTGATGAGCCTCAGCGGATGCAAATCTGGTGACACAAAAAGCGGTATATGGGTTGAAATCACTCTAGGATGCCAGAAGAAGAGGAGGCTATTCTGTCCGACGCATGAGGCATAATTGCTCATTTCTTTTCGAGGGCGTTTGCGTAGAGACGACAGAGTCTTCCCGTCCCATTGAATGATGCGACAGCTATCCAGAAGATCACAAACCGCATTTGCCTCCTAGCAAAGAATCTGCACTCAACCGGTGACTATCGAACACGTTGACAGATTTTAAATCATATCGAGCAAGGATAGAGAGATAGCGTCCCAAGTCCTCGGGTCTATGGCTATACAAGAAGACAAGGCTTTGAAGAAGAAATCTCCAACGGGATGGTGACAGAAGTAGCGGTAAGAGATCTTGCTTTTTTATATTGTTCCATGCGTGATCTCACTATTTGCTGCATGTCAGATTGCTTGCGCATGTGATTGATCGACATACCGTGTTTGAAACGATTTTCATGAGGTGCTTAAAGAAGAGCTAGATTTAATCAAAAGGCATGATGCTTATCTAGGCTAATTTGCCACAAACGTATGGTACCTACCTAGTGTGATAAGTAGAGAAAAGGGCGAAATTGGGCTTGACCGCCTTCAGAAACTCTTTTCACGCGACACAATTTGAGAATTTACATATATTGCAGGGTGATGATTCGAGAAATTATCTGTTATGAGTGTGCGTTGCTTCTCATGGTGATTGGTTAGATAACTGTTACAATGCAGTCAGCTTCCAAGGTTATCGAGTCAAGAACTTCGCCACACTGTAAACGTCGCTTCGGAGATTACCTTGAGGGGAATGATCTACAATCATTTCATCACA